ACTTGTGTATTATGACATTTAATTAAAGGGGAGGCTTGTTTGGGATAGTACTAATAAGTATGGTGGCATCACTAATGGATTTAAACAAAGGGTGACAAGAGGGAGAACTCACTAATTATTTTGTGGTAAAGAGAGGATTTTGTACATATCCAAACATGAATGAGGAATTTGCTATTTGATGAAAAATTAGGAGGAAATTGGGGTTGAACCTTCCTATTTATAGTACCTTGGAGAAACAGAAGTATGGGGTCAAGAAACTACAATGATTTTCTGATAATGATGACATCATCGCTAATGAATTTCAACAAACGTGACAAGAGGGGAGATTTCACTAATTATTTTTGGCAGCCAAAGAGGTTATTGTGTATGTTCAAGCATGAAGGAGGACTCTCGCCGTTTGATTGAAACTTAGGAGGTATGTTTCTTTTAACCATTATATTTATAACAACTTTTAGAAATCAGAAGTAGGGTTCAACATAATTGATTAAAGATGGTACCTGGCTTCAAGCAACAGTATATTTATTAAGACAAGACCACAAACTCAAGTTTAAATTGCGCCAAGCAAAAGCAGCTTTTTACAAGACAAATTGCATTCCAGATCATTATTCCAGTGAAATCAATTTAAGTTACCAAGGACAGGCAAAAGCCCGTAAATCTATAGCTTTGATATTCAACCATAAACAAAACAAACAAAAAATAGCCTTGATGGTGCATAATAGGTTCAGAGTCTCACTGCATCATTAGCATAAGATGAATTACAGAATGGGACCATATTATTATAGTTTTACAGCACGAAGAATTGCCATGGAAATATTTTTATCAAAACCATGCCAACTCAAAAAAATTTTAACTTACCGTATGAGATAGAAAGTATCACTTAACCACTGCTTTCCTCGCTCTAAATCCTCAACACTCATCCGTTCGACAGATTCTCCATATCTATGATTATCCAGGATAAGCAAAAACAAATATATCAGTCATAACAAGCACAGTTGGAGTACTGATGCTACACCAGAATGGAAGCTTCCTACGATGGGATTTGTTGAGCATGACAATTGTGGAAGCATGGCAGTGAGTTACAGCACTGATGTTATAGGTTTAATTTGGCATGTTGCAAGGTTTTGAACACACTAGTGAGGTTTATTTTTTCTAGGCAAATTGCAGTCTCTATATGGTTCACATATTCATCAACAAAGACAGTTCAATTCATGTAAGACTTCAGACTTCCGTAGATGACAACAAATACGTTCATTGCTTGATGGCTACCTATACTGAATCATATGAAAATAAAGCAGGCATGTGGTGCATGAGATGAGTATCGAATCAAAAACAGGAACAATGAGGAGGTTTTCCCAAGAACGTAATCAAGTTATGTAATGACAGCATATGCACACCAGGCGGAATTTGATTATGTCCATATACAGTCAGTTTTCTATGAGTAACTGTGGGGGGCTCCCAAGGATGGAGAGAAATAGCTGTACAACAGGGTGGTGAGATTAGGCTGCTTTGTGTTCAATTTGATGTTTTCCACTCTCTCCAGGATTTTCCAAATCTAAGTGAACTGGTTTCTCTAACCTTTGTTTCAAAGGTTATATCATCACATATTACATAAATATGCTATACCACCCTCTTCCACTCAATAACCAGACCAGAGTCCTAAATTAATTGAGGAAGCAAGCAAGGGGCTTTATGCCACTCTATTGTGGTATATCCGTGAAACGTCTCCCACATAAAAATGGAAACAACAGAAATCCCAAATGAAAATACTCAACAACTACTCCTAAACAAACCTACCTCACATCAAAGAAAGGTTTCTTTATATGTTTCTCCAAAAGCTTCCTAGCATGATCCCGAACCTACAAATCAGCAGAATGAATGTGATTGGCATAATAGAAACAGGTTTCTAAGGTATTTCAATCCTTGATTCTAACAATATGCACGACAACATCCACTGTCTGGATTAGTTAACAACAATCACAATACATAATTTCCAAGGTGAAAATGTCAATAGTAGTTTTAGAGCATAACATTTATGAGAAACACATAGCTGATGACATGTGAAGACTTCTCCACGTTGGCAATCGCCAATCAACATGTCAGAAAGAACTTGTCTCACAGTTTTCAACACTTGGTCAATTCTGTAAACTAAAAGAATATGCAAAGTCAAAAATGCAACATAAATGTCCACGCCCTATAGTTCTTCCACACAAATTCAATCCCCAAGGAAAAAAAGTAAAAGCATAGATAATAAAAATATAACACAACAGATGTCAATTTCTACCTGATAGCGCACTTTAGATCCTCTACGTACATATTCATGCATTATTTGTAGAACTCAACTAAGCTCAACAAAGCTATTATACCCAATTATTTGGGGTATTTCCCCATTATACTCTATCAAGGGCCAATGAGCTATATTTTTTTTTTACTATTTCGTTCGAAGTTACTTTCAGTCTACCTCTACCTCTTGCAATATAATTGAGATGTTTTAAATCACTCTTCCTCATTGGTGTATTATTAAGTCTTCTTTCTATAAACATATCCATACAATCCAAGTCAAATCTCTTAATTTGTCTCTTATTGATGTCGCTTCTACCGTTTTACTTAGTTTTATCTTTTCTTGTTTTACCACAGCTATCTTAACATCATTATTTCTGCAACACTTAGTTTTTGAACATCATGTTTCCTAATTGCCCTACAGTTTGTATTGTAAAGCAAACATGCCAGAAAATGAACTCTTCATTTAGCCCACCCTGTTTTAATTCTATGATTCACACCGTTTCCAATCTCTCCCTTCCTATGGATAATCCACCCCAAAATCGCTCTTTTAGTAAGTAAGTAAAACAATCCCCTCGGAATAAAAAATTTGATTGTGGTCTTGTGGCAAGCAGCCAATTCTAGAGGGTAAAGTGAGGATTATCTGTATGGCCACCCTTTATGAATTCCATCTTTGAAGTACACACTGGCTGCAGGCTGGCAACAGTAAGCTAAACCAGGAGCATATGCTTAGTAGGTTATCAACTACAAAGTCCCGCAAATCTTTGATAACTGATGCCCAAAGAGAAGCCAAGAACTTGACTCTTTCCCAAACTAACCCCCCTAACTCATCTCTTACCTCAAAAATTCTAGCAATGATTTCAATCCAGCAATTTCGTATAAAAAATTCTACAATTTTGTGTTCAGCAAAACAGGAATGCAGTTGAGATTAATAGGGGGTTAGCGTTGTGGCTTTCTCTTGCAGTTCTGTTTACTTTCCTTATTGTGTAATGGTTAGATTTCGTAACCACCTTGTCTGGAATTTCTTCAAGTTAATAACATCATGTTTCTTGTCACCCAAAAAAAAAAAAAAATAAGTGGGTTACCAACTGGGCATATAAAGCTGTTCAAAGGAAACTGGGCACAGAAAGAAGCTCTATCAGGAGACTCCAGACTTATTTGAGCTTTTTGACAGCCATGCTCAAGGGAATTAAAATACATAAATGGATCAAGGATTAATTACAACCCACTAATTGAGGCAAGAGGAAGTTTCCACCAAGGTCAATTGGGACACTACAGTAGAAATAAATGAAAGCACTACACGTGATGTGTGGCAAATACAGACATATCTAGTCATCTCTCTGTGACCACATTTTAAGAATTTCTTGTATCAGATATCCTGTCCATGAGTTGAATCATTAGCTATAAATCTTGGCATACTGCACAACATTTACCAACATGCATTCAATTGAATTCGAAGTATTTCCAATGCAACTAAGACGTAAGGAATTAAATAATAAAGGAAACATAAGAAGCAGCATACAGATTGTCTGGGGTACCTAGGCCACATGCAATGTTATTTGTACTTATTTTTTTTCCTGTCATAGAAGGTAAAAGAATGTTACTTGTACTTCTTTAGGCCATTACTTTGTGTTTGTCCCCCTACTTTTGAGACAGTGAGAGGAGTGAAAGGGTAGCATAACCACTGCCCAGTAGCTAGACATTCCCAAACATCATCATAACGTCTCCACTCATAGGTATATGCCAAAGCATTCTCCATCCCAACCTCCACTAACAAAAAGGGGAAAAAAGGAATATTGGATGAAGTAAACATATGATGATGATAGTATGCCTTTATACTAACATTTGAACTAAAACAAAGCTTTGGACTAACAACCATAGCTTATGAATCAGAGACATAGATTATGAATCAGATACATAGATTATAGATCAGATAATAAGCATGATCAACATGCAAAGTATTCAAGGTGACAAGTTGCATCACTACACAACAATATCAAGCATACTTGGGCACATTCAACTCTGTTACAAACAACAAAGCACTAGAGTAAGAACCCAACAGTATCAGCCATGGACCAAGGGGGTAAAAGAAAAAGAGAAAAAAAACGTACTTCTTCATTAAACCTAACACATATGAATTAAGAACACCTCAATGAATATTCTATCATGCTGGCTTGTAATCATGATTCTCGAGTTCCCACTGCAATCCAATTAAAGGGGTGAAAGATGGGCAGTAAAAAGATACTCCATCGTCCTATAGACTGTACCAGCAAATCTGTTTATCCCATAGAGCTATCCTGCTATTAGAAGCCAAAGCATCAAGCATATTCAATTGCCCACACAATCCCTTTGATGCAAAGTATGCAAACAAGAGAGGGGGAGAACACAAGAGACATCATAAATCTAACCTCGGAAATGAATAGATTTCAGTCTATGCTGGTTGTAAGTTGGTACCATGCTGGTCTATTCTCTTATCAAATTTTAGTTGATAAGAGAATTATAGGAGTTTCAAGATTTTCTAGACATGAGTTGTTGCCACGATCAATAGGTCGAATGAGTCAATTGACGTCATTTGGGTCTAATATGGAGTCTTTAGTGGTCTAGAATAGTCTTAGTCAAAGAGTAAATTTTTTTCCTGTGACCCATTAGCCCATAAGTATCGTGACGAAGCGACTATTGCTCACCCGACACGATCGTACGAGGTCACAATTCACCCAACACGATCATCCGGGGTGAACAAGAATTGAGAATCGGATGCCGGCGAAATTCTCTCCAATGGCTGAGATGTTCAGTCGACTCCCCCCTTCCTATTCAGAACCCCAAAAATACTTTTTTTTTTAAATGGAACTTTTTTCGAGTCAAATCAATTCAAATTACTCTAATGTTTTATTACTTATTTGTTTGTTGCACAAAAAACTTTTTGAATTTCCACTCAAAAGAGATTTCCCTAACGAAAAAGTTTTTAACGTTGCCCATTATCCCTTCTGTTTCCAAATATTTTTACGAATATGCTTTTTCAATATAGAAGTATGCTTTTTTTTTTGGAATCTTTTACCGATGAGAAAAAACTAAAAAAAAAAATTAGTGCATTTAGGATGGGAAACTGAACCTAAATCAGAGCTAGTCCCCAGAAGTCTTTATGGCACAAACAAAACCCGCAAATTCTACCTGATTTGCCTCCTATTTACTATCCAATATTGTTGACCACAAACACAAAGGGCTTTCCATGGGCCAGGCCAATCAAAATAAGAGCATCCTGATGCTCTTGGTCTGGTTGGGCCGGACTCAAGGCCAGGATATACTGACCAGACCCTGTACCAAGGCCCACTACTTTTTGTTTTAAAATGTTTGTAAATTTAACAAATACTTTTTATACATAGAAATTATTCTAAAAACTAAGTAAATAAAAGGTAAATAAAATAAAGTAATTTTATTCAAAAGCTATTGTTCAGACCAGTCCGAGCCAATCACCACCTCTGGCTCAAGCCCATGCCCTAGCTCCGTACTAGGCCCAAGCCCTCCCCATTGGCCAACAAATTGGGGCAGTTACTATATTATCCAAACCAAGCCACAGGCGACATGACCAACCCATCAAACCCACGGTCTGAGCTGCACACACGCACACATATATATGAATGAACATACACATACATACATCCATACACACAAACATATAAATGCACACATGTATATATAAGGAGAGAAGAAAATTTAATAAGACACCTATAAAATGAGCATTTATAAAAAAGAAAATAGGGTACATTACATTCACATCCTATGGGTTTTGAAAAAGTACAGGAGACCTCTTAAATTGTCACACATGACACATGGATCCCCCGAGTTTTTGAGTTTTTAAGTGTTGTAACAGAGACACTCCTTCCAAGATAAAATCCGCAACAATTAAGCTTAAAATTCATATTTGTCCCTGCTTTCATTGATTTGCTAATAAAGGAGGATAAATTGGTCATTTCATTAACAACTACTATTAATACGTATGAACTATGATATATATAAGTCATCTCTGGATTGCCAATGTGTAGTCATATTGTTTCACAAAACTCAAGAGATGTCAGTAAAACTTACCAAGATACATAAAATCCGTCAAAAGATACTTTTTATTGTGAAATTACCAGAAAGGCTACCACACACAAACGTAAATGAACATGATGAAAAATTCATGTTAAGATCTAGTTCCGCCAATACTAATAAGAAAGTGCTATTGGTAAAACCCACTTTATCACCCCCCCCAAAAAAAAAAAAAAAAAGTGTCCGTCGATTTTTGTACCGCAATATGTCAAGTCAAAACCAAAATGGAACATCTGTAACACTACACTTCATTCTTCAGCCATAGGATTTTCGAATCAGGAAAAAAAAAGATTTCAAATCAACATAAATCTTTTAATAGGCCATGCCAACAGTGTCCACTTAGCAACAAGCCAAAAACAAAAGGCTCCAAGAAAAAAAGATCACATGCAAACTTGGATTCACTGTGAGGTGGCATACCTTGTTCTCCATCGAGCAAAGTGCAAATTTCCAACCAACCCTTTCATTAAGATTGCATAAAAGTGCATCAATCCACTCACTCTTGCCTGAATTTGGCACTCCAGTTACTATGGTCAGCTCTCCTGGCACAACCTGATCAAAAGACGGCAAAAAAGCGTTTAACAAATCCACCCTCCTATCGATTGTCATAATTGATTCTAAACTGCTACCGGATTTTTTTAACTATCGCACACAAAGTTAATTTTATTTTACCGTTACCCCTTGCATTATCGTCCATTCGCATCGCTCCTTATATTTTCTGCTCAACGACCAGTGTGTTTGTTTAATACTTTGTGCTTGCAAAACATTAAAAGTTTTGTCCAGGGAGAATAAGATCAATACATCCATAACAGGTTCAGTCTGTCACTCATGAACTCCTTGGTAAACTAGTCTATACATTTAAATAAGTTAAAATAGAACAGTTGATTTCATGAAATTTAGACTTCATTATTCGTACACAAAGAGAGAAAGAGAGAGAGAACAACTACTACTACCAAAAATGTATGACATAATATAGAAGCAATAAGCTAAACGGAGCAGTCTTTCTCGCCATTCCAAATCTTCAATATTAAAGACAAGAACCTACGTTTTGAGCCACAAAACCAAAAACAGAAAAAAAGTCTAGTTGATATACTTCTTCTGAGTGATAATTGTTAGCATTAACAAGGATCAAAATTTCGTTCTGACACATTGTTTCGGTCATCTAGGAAACGAAAATATTTCGACGTGTTTTAGAAACGTTTTGACCGGTTTCGAAAATAGAATGAAAAAAAATTAAAAAATTAAAAATTATTTTTTCAAATCATTTGTCGCAATATACCAAAGTATTTTAAAATATTTTGAAGCATTACAAAACAATTGTGAAAATGCGTTAAAATATTATAAAACATCTCAAAATATTATGGAACACCTCAAAATATTAGAATTTCGATTCCGTCACTGATTCATTTCGGTCTCCTTGAAAACGGAAATATTTCAGACGTTGCGACCATTTCAAAACGAAATTTTGATCCTTGAGCATTAGCTCATTCTCCTCTTCAAACAATTTTATTATTTCTAGACTGCCCAGGTCTATAGCATCCTTGTATCTTGACGTGAAGTAGAAAAATTTTCAAACAATGGGTCACATTATCCCCTGTGTACTAACGAAATTCCAATAGGACTATGACATAAAACAGCTAGAGCTATATGCTGGTAGTACAATCAGGATATATCCCCAGACAGTAACAACCGGATCTTGCCGCATGTCATTATGTTCCATACCAAAAGATAGTGAAATATAAAAAAAAAATTCATCAACATGCCCTAGAAGTACTCCTGGGAGGAATTCAACCTCAGCTGACTCCAGCCTAACATACTTCATGGTCTAAAGCCTTGGCCAATGGACTACCACCACAGATCTGCACTAAAACACATCATGGAGCAAACACAAAAGCTTATATCAATGGGCAATGTGCGTGGGCAGTTATTACAACTTTGATTCATGCTAGAGTTTCCTTTCACCTTTTACAAAGTAATTTGGATTGGTTTTGCTATTTTCAAAAAAATTTTGAGATTTTTGGGTCAAGTTTTTAGATATGTCAATTTCGGACAATCTGAGTTCTTTTTATGCTTTAATCCTCACCAAAGGGGTGCAACTAGGGATGAGGAGTTGTAATCTGAGATGCCCAGCCCTGTTTGGGCTTTCTGTGTGATTGCGGAAGAAATCCATAGTCATGACTCAAAGTTGCCAACTGGATGATCTTTCTGGCTCTGTTCTGGTTGCCTCCTTGCTTCTAGGTTGTGACCTGAGATACCCATACATATTTGGGTGTTTTCTGTGCGTGATTGAAATCAGTATTCGGCACCCATGACAGTATTGTTGGTCAGGGTTCTAGTTGTTTTCTACTATTGTAGTTGTTTTTTGGCATCTAGGTATTAGGTTTGGGTATTTTATTGGTATTCTCCAATTTGCCTACTGTGATTGCTAATTATTGATTGGCTATTGGTTTGTTTGTTCATGATTTTCTGTATAATTGATTGTAGATTTGTCAATGACATCCTCAGATGATGTCAAAGGTTGAAAACTAGATAGATCCCTTCCACGATGGCAGCAATTGCTACTCCTGATTTCATGGCAAAAGTTTTGGTACATGCAGAATGGAAAGTCATTTAACTAATAATAATAGTCATTCTCAGACTCCAAAGAATATGAAGATTGCTTTGAGTGAGAATTCTTAGCTTAGTACTGAATCGTATGTAGCCTTCAATATTCAGTTCCTTCACATAGCAAAGAAGACATGGGACTCACTTGAGAAGATGTATACAGAAGAACATAATGTATCGTGGACCTATGAGCTTTTTGAGTATATGTTTAATACAAAACAAGGTGATATATCTCCGGTTGCGCATTAGGGTGTTTTGAAAGATTTGTGAGAAGAACTTATACATTATCAACCATTGAACAGGGATTTAAAGATACAGTGACGGTAGCATGAAGTGTTTTAGGTTGCTTCGTTATTGTCCAGCCTTAACTCTAAGTATAGTGTGTTGAAAGATAAAATTTTCACTAGTGAGACATTACCAAGGACTATCAGTTCTTATTCTTGTCTTCAGCGTACCTCTCTTGCTAGGTTTCTTCTGCTTCATAGGAGTCATCTACCATGATCTCTAGTGATGGTAATCTTGGTGGTCATGGTAGTAGTCGTCATACAACTTAAGGTGGTAGTTGTCGTGGTAGAAGACTTGGTCGTGAAGGACAAGGTAGTCATAGAACGCAGTGATATTAATGTTAGGATAAGTATAAGAGGCCAACATATGCTTGTTAGAGCTTCCAACCCAAAACAAATTGGCAATGGATAAAGTGGCCTCTCAAGTATATAAACTAACCTTATTGGTCCTAATTACTCTTTGTAGGATACAAACTCTCTTAACAATACTAATCAAGCTTCTGATGATTCATCCTCTCCGGTGCATCAAACCTATGGATTGTCTAGAGTAATCTACTTATGGTTCTCATCGAAACCTAATTTCTCAGCTTAGCCAACTCATCCGGCAATTGTGTTCCCTTTCTCCCCAATTGTCTACCTCTTCTGCTACTATAGCTAATGCAGATAATTCTATACATAGGGATGCCCAATTTGCTTCACCATTTTGAAGAATTAGTTTGGGAGCTAATGCTCACATGTCTAGTATTGTCTCACTACTTTATAATTTTTATTCTTTTAACTAATTAGCTTATGGTTCTTTTTGACCAAGGCCAAGAGACTCGTGATCTACATCCTACTTAGTCCATACCTTTAAAATTTGGTCTACGGGTTCCTCATTTCCGCTCAAACATGTTATGTGTTCATTAACTAAGTCTTTACAATGTTCACTGACCGTTACTCTGTGTTCTCGTGTTGAGGAACTCTAAATCAATATTACTTGGATTGTGGGTCTCTTTAGTACATGATACGTGTACAGGTATGCTATACGTCACTTTCCTATGTACGCGATACAACGGAAATTGGCTTAACTAGTATGGTGTCTTGAGGCGCAATTCATTTTAGAACTCTTATCTAAATCGTTTTTACTACTACACAACGTTATATATTATAACATCCATAAACACTAAGTCAGTTACCATTTATCTCACATTTGTGTTCGATTTTCTACTATCTAAAATATTATATAATTATAAATTTATATATACGTAATCAGTTAATATGTATTTTATATTTGGGCTATATGTTCCAAAGAAAATCGATTTAAATTTAGTATTTAAATTTGGAGTTGTACATTTTGGTAATCTGAATTGCAACCAACCTTATTTGGGATCGATGCACTTAGATCGTAGATCGTTAGGGTTTTAATGAAATCTTGTAACTAGGCTCTAAATGGAGAAGGTAAATGGTTTTGAGCATAAGCAAAATTATCTTTACAACCTCAATTACGCAGATTCTGTTCCTACTACGAGTGCTACCACATCTCCTCTCTAGTGACATTTTATACTGATATCATCCTTCCTTGCAGAAGCTACATCAAGTTATTCCCAATTGGATTCATTCTTTTTCTTTTTTTTTTTATAAAAAAAGAATTTTATTATATAATGGAAGAAAGAAGAAAACGAATTACAATATTGAGGATAAGATATCCTCAAAATGAATAAAAACAAGATACACATCTAAGAAAAGTCTTAAGTAAAAAACTAATATTAAGTCGCCTGCCAATTCCGTTGAAGATTCGATAGAAGAATACTTCCAAAACTTCCTGTTGCTTTAATTCAAAATGAAGCCATAAAACAATTCTTTTTCATACTAATTCAGAAGGAAGATACGGTTATTGAAAATTCATGCATTTCTCTCCGTCCAAATACACCAAAGAGTTGTCATGAGCACACAATTCTATAATACCTACACTTCATTTTTATTACCAAAACCCCAAAACTTAATTTGCAACATCTGTTCCATTGTAAACGGGCAAACCCAAGCCTCAACAGTCACTTAATTTGATTCATTTTTCTTTGTTAGAATATAAGGCTTGTCAGTTCAACAAGCATCGCCGTAGTTCTTTTTCTAGTAGTCCTACAAATCATCAATCTACTCTATGATATTTGTTAATTTAGACATTTAAGGTCCTATAAAAATAAAAAGAAATTTTTGTGATTTGTATGTTGTGATCTTTCTCGACGACTTCTCTCATATGATTTGGTTGTTTCGTGTGCAAAATCGATCAAAGTTGTCTAAGACTTTTGTCATCTTCTATAACAAGATTGTGGTTAAGTTTGATAGATGTTTTAAAGTATTTCATTTTGAAAATGCTCAACCACATTAAATCATCTATGGATACTTGTGCTCACTGTGGTAAAATTCATAAACTACATGCCCATATGCATCACGACAAAATAGAATTGTCAAGCGTAAGCATTATCATTTCTTTTAGTTTGCCAACGATTTAAAGTTTAACATGGTGTAGGGTACTAGAAATATTTCCTTTTTCATGTTCAATGAAATATTTCTTGTTGACGACAAAAAAAAAAGTGAAAAACAATTAGTGTGTCATTTGAAGAAGCATTATATGGCCTGAAACCATTAACACGTGTTTGGTTCAAGGATCAAAATTCCGTTTAGAAACGTACGAAACGTTTTCGTTTTCAAAGAGACCAAAACGAATCAATGATGGAATCGAAATTCTAATACTTCGAAGTGTTCCATAATATTTCGAGATGTTTTCTAATATTTCAATGCATTTGCACAATTGTTTCGTAATGTTTCAAAATATTTTAAGATATTTTAATATATTTCAACAAATGTTTTGGAAACAAAATTTTTATTTTTTTTATTCTGTTTCTGAAATCGGTTGAAACGTTTCCGAAACATGTCGAAACATTTCCGTTTCCTAGATGACCAAAACAATGTACCAAAACGAAATTTTGATCTTTGGTTTGGTTTGATAAACTCAATACAATTGGTCTTGTTTTTTCAGAATTATACTTTAGATCATTCAGTTTTGAAACAATGTTTGTCCAACAAGTGGTATTATTTTTATTGTATATATATTAATCAAATGATTAGTCATAAAGAACACGATGGTATTGCCCACTTTAAGACCCAATTGGAAAAGTAGTTACACATCAAAGACTTGGGCCTTCTTCACTATTTCCTTGGGATTGAAGTTTTCTAATCCAATGAAAGTATAGGTTTGTGCCAACAAAAGAATGTATTGGATTTACTTTCTAAAACCGAGGTACTCTAGGTGCATGTCCAGTTGATACCTCCATGCACTCCACAGTTAAGTTGAATTTTGATAGTGGAGAAATTTTTGAAGACATGGAGGGAGGTTTAACAGTAACTTGATTTACTTTATAGTTACATGCACTTATATGTATTATTAGTATGATTAATCATTTTGTGCATGCTCCTCGTAAGCTTCACTAAGCGCCATTTATCGTATTCTTTGCCATTTAAAAGGAGCACCATGCAAATGATTAATATATTGGTCGTTATTATGCTAGACCATTACTGGATTTTCTAACACCGACTAGTAAGTAGTTGTATTGATAGACGATCCAGTTCTAGTTACCATACATTTTTAGTGGTAAACTTGTTACTTGACACATTAACAAAAAAGAAGTGGTTTTACGTTCTAGTGCAAAAGCTACATATCGCGTCATGGCTCATACTATTTGTGAGATTTTGAGTTCGCTCTTGACTTCACAAGATGTGTTGATGTGTCGGCTAACTCGTCTCCTATATAGATACAATGTGATAATCGGGCAACTTTTTTCGTTGATAGTAACAGTGTGTTTCATGAGCGCACCAAACAAATTTGACATCGATTATCATTTTCATTCAAGATCTCTTGATGCAAAAGGAGATTATCAATCCATATATCTAGTTTAGTAATCAACTAGGTGATATTTTCACAAAACCGTTGTCTCGGTGCACCTTTAGTAGTATTTGCTTCCAGTTGGGCACTTTTTATCTTTATGATCTAGCTTGAGTGAGAGTGTTAAAGTTTTCCTTTTTCTACTATTATTCATAATATCCTAGAGTAGGGTAATATTATACCTACCCCAATATATTTTGATACAAATAAGATGGTGTAGGGTACTAGAAGCCCATTCACAACAGATCAATTCTTAATCTTTTTCTTCCTCTCTTTCTCTCCTCTTCTTCCAAAACCACACATTTTATTGTCATTGTTTTAAATACTTTCAACTCCACAGATTTTTACAGCACAATCTCCGTGACTACTCATGCCATTCACTTCACTCAATCACTCAAGGATACAAATTAGAATAATATTCCTTTGGGAAAGTGAAGTTTAAGCTGCAGGATAAGTAGAAACTGAAATTCAAGAGATCAAACAAAGTAGACTCACATTGTATAATTCATTTAATGCCATCCATCCAGTTGAAACCCCAAGTTCATAGCCAAGAGTTTGATGATAATAGGAATCAATCTCCTCATAATAATCTCTGAAGCTGAACAACCCTTTTATAGGATATAACTCAGCTTTCTCAATGACTTCTTTCAAAACATCAGGTCCCATAAACATGAGCACCTACAAGTACAAAATAAAGGCAGAGTCAAGAGTGATGACATTAATCTCGGTAGACGTTAATGAAGATCAACAACTCTGAAGTGTTTTCATAATGATTTCAAAACAGGAATACTAAAAGAACTATCATGCTCATGAATACCAAGCCATATTGAACGAATAGCGAGATACAGTGGGAAATTATTACATGTCCGCCAGTTGGTAAACATTAAATAAGTAAAATTTTCTTTATTCTTCTTTCAGCAACAAATTATTATGAGTTTGATAATTTTTTATCCAAAAAACAACAATTTTTAACTATTGAGCATGACAGCAAAATGTTGTGAACAATTATTCTGAATTGACAAATCACAAACAACAAATATACAGAGCAATGGAAAATAAGCAGTGTGCTATATCAATATGAACATATATGATATAGCCGAATTGCATAAAGCATGACAAACTCTATTAAATGATGAATGCATTATAGGGAGGTCCAGAAAAACACTTAACCCACAGACCAACTAAAAAGTTTGCATTAAAGGGGGAAAAAAGAAGATTTGATGGTAGATCCAGTATTATGAAAAGCGCGCCTAGGCGAGAAGCGAGGCGAGGCAAGACTAGCTCCCCTGGAGGACCCCAGGCGAAGCGAACGTGATCAAGGCGAGAAAAAAGCAAGAAAAAGTGAAAAAAAGAAAAAGCGTTCGCTTTTATTATAAGAGGCGAAATATTTAATTTTTAATTTAGACTGTTGGATTGGGCGATTACAAAAAAAATTTTAAGATGTTGATGTACCGAATTATTCCCTTATCCTATAAATACAACTCCTAACCTAATTTTGTCTCATTTTTTCTCAGATAGCTTTGATCGGTGCTGCTCTCTCCACTGCTACACAATCGATCGGTGCTGCTCTCCACTGCTACATGATCGGTGCTGTTCTCCACTGCTACACTCCAAATCTTCGAGTTTTTCGCTGCTTCTACACCATCGTTGCTGCTGAACAGAGATATCGTTGGGTTTGTAGGGCTTGTCTGGACTGTGGAGGTTAGTCTCTTCTTCTTCTCTCTTCTATTTTTTTTTTCTTCTGTCTTCTGCTCCTTCACCGATTCTGTTTATTCTCTTTTTTTTTTTTTTTCTTGATCTAATTCTACCCTATCCTGCTCTGATTCTACCCTATTCTGCTCCGATTGTGCTTTTTTTTTTTTTTTGTCATTATGCTTCTGTTTTTTTTTTTTTTTGCTTTTTCCTTATGTTGCTGTCCAAAATCCAGTCCATATGAAGATCCCATAAAAATGTAAGGAGTTAAAATCAAATGTAAGCCTAGGCAAAAAAAAAATTGTGAATAAAACTCCAGTCCGAAATATAATTTAATTAAGCTTTGATGGCATCTCACTCTCACATGATATGATCATTATAGGTGACTAGGCCCGTGTTTCAAATAATAGAACAATGTTATTTGAATCTAAATTTCTAATATAATTTGTTGGTATAATGGTGTGTCTTTACTTTACATAATTTGATGGCATTAATAAGGCTTTACTTATCAATTTTTTACTATTTTTTTTTCTCATTAGTCCCTTTACATCATTGGATTAGTGAACTCACTATAATGCTTCATAGGTATTCTATAGAAAATACAAGAAAAATTGGGCAGAGGATTATTGAATTCGTGCAGCCATTGATTTTGGTATCATATATGCTTTCCGTGAACAAGGAGGAATTCACCAAACCCATGCACTTCAAAAATTTATTTTCTTTTAAAATCAATCACTTTCAAACTTATTTCTTAAATTTAGTCATTTTTAAAAGACGTTTAAATATGACGCTTTTCACGCACTAAATATAAATATTGAACTAAATTTGATGTGTAGTGCGTTAAAGGCGTCATGCCAAATCATGTCTTTAAAAACATTATTTCAAATAATCTTTTAATTCATGAAGGCGTTATTTAAAATAATGTCTTTTTAAAAGTAATTGAATTTGAGAAATAAATTTAAAAATAACTTATTTTGAAAAAAAAAATTGGGGGGGCATGCCTTTGGTGAATAATCATGTGTAAGCTTAGTTTCATTTGGTAATAATATGGTCGGAGACTACATAAGAATTATACAAACAAATGAAAATGCAAGACTTAATGTATTTAGTACAAGTTGAATTGTTTACATGTGAAATATGAAATTGTTTACAACGTAATGCTTCTGATTTTTTTTTTTTTTGCTCTTTTTGCTTCTGTTTTTTTTTGTGCTATTGTCCTGATTCTATTGTTGTCCTGATTCTACTTCTGTCCAGTCAATATGAAATTGCTCCTATGCTGCTTCTATTTTTTTTTTCCTCAGTCGTCTGCTTTTTTTTTTTTTGTTGCATTCTACTATTGTCCTGATTCTGCTTCTTTTGTTGTCCTGTCCTGTCCTGTCAATATAAAATTGTTTACAACTGATATGAAATGTGATTCAGTACATGTGAATGTGTTTTGTTCCTTTGATTGTAGTGTGATAGTGTTATTCATAAATAGCATCGTCGTCCGAAGGGAACAAAAAAGATCCGGCATGAAAATATGCACACTTGGTAAATCCTCGAAACACAAACAAGTTCAAATGCAATTTTTGTGGAAAAGAGTCAAATGGAGGTGTCTATCGGGTCAAACAACACCTAGCGGGGAACTCTACGAGTGTTATTACTTGTCCAAAATGCCCTGCTCATGTTAGGGAGGAGATTAGAGAATACATGGCTAAAAAAAAGGAAGAGAAGAATCTAATGAACATGGTTCCCGACTTTGATGAGATGCCTAATGACTTGGAGGAGGATGAAGATGATATTGTAGAGATTGTTGCGAATCGTAAAAGATCCATGACTAGTTTTAGTCAAGGTTCTGCACAAGCCACATCAAGACCAAAAAAGCCAAGACAAAAAAGGCCTATGGATGTATACTTCACCCCTGATCCGAATGTTGTGGTGATCCGAATGTTGTGGTGCAAAATCGAAAGACCAAGGGAAGACAAACGAATATTGATGCCAACGATCCTTTTAGAAAGGAAATGAGAGAAAGAGTCATCACAACATTTGCCCAATGGATGTATGACACGGGAATTCCCTTTAATGTTGTGAACTATG